TGAGTGAAACCAGTCACATATTCTCCCAGTCCGATGAACTTTGCTGTTGTCATCTTGAAAAATAGGAGCATCGACAGCATACTCTTCATGAATTACTTGACTGAAAGGCAACACCTGATCATTCAGACTGTTCAAATAACCACGTTGGTTCATTTTAGTGGCCACCTCAGTGGAGGGGCCCAATCCCAGATGCGAAAAACACCCCCCAACGCATGACATACCCATCTCCGACTAGAACCTGGCTTTGCACACTGTCAGGATGAAATGCGTCATATAGTCTTTGACTCATTCGACGATGAGCGATGTTTGAATAAAGGCAAAAACGTGATTCTACAGACCAAATTACATTCCACCAATCAGCAATAGTTCACGTTCGGAGACTTCTAGCCCACTGAAGACGCGCAGCTTTATGTGTCTGTGTGAGCAATGACCTCCTAACGAGGTGTTCGACTCCAACTGTTCATTGCATGCAGCTCCGAGGTCTCTCACTAACAGGTTGGGATGAACCTTCAACCACTTACTGAAGCAATTCATGCAGAGTTTGGAACCTATTTTGATTGACAAGTCGTGAAACACGTCTCCGGTCTCTTTTATGCAGGATCTTTTGTCGACCACAATTCTGACGTCGTCTTTAGTGGCCATGTGTATTACACCACTGAAATGAAAAGGATTTTTCTCAATATATTGATAAAGATTATGGTCATATTACGGGAAATTTAGAGATTGTTGGTAATCAAGTTTTAATTAATATTTTAAGTAAAGGTTCAAAATTTAGGACAAGATTTAAAATGAAAAATGAAGATTTTATTATATCCATTGAAAGAGATCTTGATATAGCAAAAATTTCCAGAAAATATCATTGACCCGTTGAGAGTTTTTCAGAGTTAAATTAACCTAAAATAATTGAAAAAGTTAAATTTAATTTATTTAATACAAGTTTTTTATCATATCCTAGTGGTACTATTATTGATTATGATTTGTCTAAAAATATTAAAATTCTTAAAGATAAATTTATAGTTACTGTTGTTGAAAAAGCATCAAATAATTTTTGCATTATGTGTAAATGCTTTTTTAAAAAGTTGATTATTGGAGAATATAACGTTAATAATACTTATTTAAAATCAAAAGAAGATAAAAAAAAGTTATTGAAAAAAGGATTATTGCATTTAGTAAAAAATTAAAATTTTAGTTAAATGGGATTACATTTCCATAGTTATTTCCTATTATCAAATTTCATAAATGTCCGGTCAAATTTAGGTTTATTGCGTGAGGTACTAATTGTTACAATTCTGATATTAGTAAAAAGTTTATCCCCTCTGTTGAGGATCAAAATTGTGATGGCATGTCTTCGGATCATCCTCAGGGATATTCCCAGACCGTCGCCAATAGCCCATTGTGCAGCTCTAGTGCGACCTAAATGAACTACAACTACAACTTTCCTACTGCCCATTTTAATAGAGGGCGTTGTTTTCTTTTACTTCAAATGTTTTTTTTACATTTAGTTTGTTTGTGAAATTGCTGTTCGACCAGTTTACTGTGAGTTTTTATTTTTTCACTTTTGTATTATATTCTTAAGATTTAGTTTGAAATTTCTCTTCCGGTGTGATTTTATGTATTTCTTGTATTTCTTACTGGACTTTTACAAAACATTCAGGGTACTGAGAGAGCTAATTTTGACATTTGTCCACTCTCTCAATAGGAAAGGTTTCGTTCAATGGTTTCCGGAGCTGGTACCCCTGAAGACATCGGCTTGGGTGACCATATTTTTATTTTTATTTCCATTGTTTTTTTCTTTATTGCTTCATAAAACCAGTCAAATATTCTTCCAGTCCGATGAACTTTGCTGTTGTCATCTTGAAAAATAGGAGTATCGACAGCATGCTCTTCATGAATTACTTGACTGAAAGGCAACACCTGATCATCCAGACTGTTCAAATAACCAGATTGGTTCATTTTAGTGGCCACCTCAGTGAAGGGGCCCAATCCATGATAAGAAAAACACCCCCAAAGCATGACATACCCATCTACGGCTTAAACCTGGCCTTGCACACTGTCAGGATGAAATGCTTCATCTGGTCTTTGGCGCACTCGACGATGTGAGTTATTTGAATAAAGGTAAGAACGTGATTAATCAGACTAAATTACATTCCACCAGTCAGCAACAGTTCACGTTCGGAGACTACTAGCCCACTGAAGTCGCGCAGCTTTATGTGTCTGCGTGAGCAATGGCCTCCTAACGAGGCGTTCGACTCCAAATGTTCATTGCATGAAGCTCCGGTGGCAGCTCCGTGGTCTCTCACTAACAGGTTGGGTTGAACCTTTAACCACTTACTGAAGCAATTCATGCCGGGTTTGGAACCTATTTTGATTGACAAGTCGTGAAACACGTCTCCGGTATCTTTTATGCAGGATCTCTTGTCGACCACAATTCTGACGTCGTCTTTAGTGGCCATGTGTATTACACCACTGCTTGTAGAGCGCTCGGAAGTTCGCATCGAAACACCAGCAAATCCAGCAATTTCATTCAACGTATGAACATGGGCACGGCCAAGCACAATTGCTCTTCGTTGCCACTCTGTCACATCCTTAAACTTACCCATATTTACACACAATTTCCTCTTAAAACAAAAATATCTCACCAATGGTTACTTGCCTTTGATCACGTTAAGGTAAGGCTGCTATACTATGATTCTAATTCAGGGGCTCTACGTTAAGGTAGTGCGCAAGCAGTTGAGCACGTCACTTGACCACTGTGTCATCTAACGAAACCTAACAATTCATTGGTGCTTGAGTACTAGGGTGACTAATTTTCTGTCCGGTGAGCTTTCTTTGAGGATTGAGGAAAGGAAAGGAGGTATTATTAAAAATTCAAATTTATTTCTTTTCTATAATTTAAACAATTGATAATTTAACTTTAATTTTAGAATTACGAGATTGTTGTTGTTGTTGTTGTTAATTTACGTCGCACTAGAGCTGCATAATGGGCTATTGGCGAAGGTCTGGGAAACATCCCGGAGGATGATCCGAAGACATGCCATCACAAATTTGATCCTCTGCGGAGGGGATGGCACCCCCGCTTCGGTAGCCCGGCGACCTGCGCGCGAAGTCGAGCACTTTACGGTAGCACAGTTTAACGAGGACCAATACCGCACATCCTCGGTCCCTAAGCAGACTGATCCAAGTGGTCACCCGCCCGCACACTGACCGTAGCAGTGACCGTGATCTGCTGGGAACCGTGTCTTAACGATCAGTCCACTGCGGGACACGACATTGAGGGAAACGTGACATATTTTTTAATAAGTGAAATTAATTATAATAATTACAACAATAATAAATGAATAAATAAAAATTGCGGGAAGACGTTTTACGGAAAATGTGAAACATTTAATTGGAATAGAAAGAAAAAAAATTAAGAATTCAGTGGCAAAATCACTTACTTCTAACGTGGGATCAATCTTTACAGACGTTGTAAGTAGACTCCAACTTGAAAATCTTGAGGACACATTCTCTATCACGTGCTTGATGTGAAACGTATTATGGAAAATAACATAGGTCGGTTAAGCAATAGTCTAGTTTTTTAAAAAAAAGCATCTGAAATTGTTATTCTAATGAAAATATGAAGGAAAGAAATTACCTATTCACCTTATTCTCGACCATGCTTCATATTCTCTATGTTAGGGGGGGGGGCAGTATTTGTAGAGGTTGTTTCAACTTCCGGTAGAAGATTCAAGTAGAAGAATTTCTGCTGCTGGAAACTAAATTGTGTAAATCCGCTTCTCAACGCTCAGGTAATTGCATACCAATATAGGATAATTGCCCAAAGTACTTTTTTTCATATTTTCATCTGATATTTAAAAATATGAAAAACGCAATTTTTTCGCAAAAACACGACACAAAAATTACCTGCTAAACAACTGAGTATTCCGAGTATAAACAAACTTACCCGGAACGTCAAAAAAGGAAATTTTCAAGTCAATGCTACGACGTCAAAAGAGGACCTCAAAATTTCCACTAGGTTATTATGTATTTTTTTTCCCGAGTGGACGGTGAATTACTCCTCTTTTCAATTTATGTCTTTTTTTTTTCTCAAATCATTTTACTTCCGAATTACTTCATTACTCAAATCATTACTTCCGAATTAGACCAGTGTTTTTAATTGACTATGAGAAACTAATTCGGCAAAAAGAAAAAATGAAAGAGATGCGCTTTTTAGGGTCATTGGTGGATGAGATCAGATCGATTTTTCCCCTCCATACTCTATCTACATAAAGGAAAAGTTCTGCTGTCACCCTTTATAACCATGATACTTGCAGGGAACTGCAGAACTTTACGTCGCACTAGAGTCTCACTTTGGGCTATATATAATGACCACGAAAACATCAGCGAAGGATGTCCGAGAACATGCCATCACAATACAGATCCTTAGTACAGGGATTAGCTCCAAAGCTTTGGAGGCCGGATTCGAGCACTTTGTGGAATAACCGTGCACCTTTGGTCTCTTCACACTCTGATCAATGTGGTCACCCCACCTGCTCACTGACCGCTACCAGTTATCGCATTGAATGAAAGCGGTCCCTTATATAATTTTCGGCGTATGTCAGTCCCGCTTTTGCATCATTTGTTATAATCGATGTGTTTTTTTTCCGGTTAATGGCGGGCACTTGGGTCTATTTCCCATTGGCCTCAGAAATGCCAGAATTGCTACTCTCTTACCCAGTGAGCACCTATTGCTAAGCCACGGCGGTGGAGTAGCGTCGCCCACGTCATACAATCCCGTTTACAGAGAGGGTTTCATTCACACAATCTCACAGAAGAAAGGACATAGAACACAGAGAGAGAGAAAGAAACATACATACCCTGAAACATACATTCGAAACCGCCACCATCGGCTCCGCAGTTAGGCACGCTAACCACTCGGCCACCTGGTTGGCCATTCGATGTGGATGCGTCAATAAAATTGACCCCCAAATATGAAGCGAATGCATCGAGTGGACGAATTTTGATTTAACTGTTGACTGTTGTTTTTTTTGCTTCTGTCTGAAGAACAGACAGATTTGTATGCACTAATTTATGTGATTTCATATATTGGTGATTTGTTTATGTTTTATAGGGAATATTTCCTAAAAAATTCATTTTCCTCTGAAATGGTATGAATTTAACTATTCAATGAAACACTTTTTTAAAAGTTTTTTCATTACGTTATGTGCGAATATCGTTGTGTCAAATTTCTTAGTACTATATGGAAACATCATAGGAGGAGGTATGTAAAATAAATAAATTTATGATTCAAATTTGATTTATTTTTAGAATAAAGTTCTTGCAGTTGTAATTTAAAAGAATATTTGTATGGAGCAGCTTTCGAAAGAAATATCGTTGAGTTTTTGTGCTTGTTGTAATTAATATATTACTATTAATATTTTACGTGACATTATTAGTGAACTTGCTTACTTATCATTTAAAAACATTAGACTGTTTATCGATCTACTCGTGATTTTGTCATATCTTATAAAAATTGCTAGCTGTTAGTTTCAAATTGTTAATTAAGTGCACATTTTACTTGACATTGGAAGTGATGTTTATACTGATTGTCATTTCAGAAAATGAACCTGTTAATTAGTTACATGGAATTTTATTAGTTCTTTCGAAAGTTGTTAGTTTCACATTGTTCATTAGTACAGCATTTTACTTCACTTTACTAATTATGTCAACTGCTTATCAGAGAAAGTGAATTGTTTATTGAACTACCTACACAATATTTTATGAGATCTTATGAAATTTGCAGGTTGTTAGTTTCACATTGTTTGTTTATGACATTAGTTGTGATGTTTATTGATTATCATTTCAAATATTAAGTTCTTTATTAAACTATGTCAGATTTTATGAGTTTTTATGAAAATTGCTAGTTTTTACTTTCACACTTTTAATTGGTTCATCATTTTATCTAAAATTTGTGACATTTACTGATTATCATTTAAAAGAGAAACAAATTGTTTTTTTGAACTTTTTAAGATTTTATCAGTTCTTATGAAAATTTTTAGATGCTAGTTTCACATTTAACAAGGGTTTGTTTCATTTATTGATTTGACAAAGATAAGACCAGTTTGGTTACATACCATTTTTATTCTAGATTTTCTTGTGTTATGGTTACTTAATTGTTGACATCATGTAGATCTTTTAATTTTTATGCTATGAAAAAGTATGAAGAAATTTAATTATTGAAAAAAGGTATTATGTATATATCTGTATATATTTTAATTGTTAATTAAATTATTAAGTAATATTTTTTAAAAAATGTATTAGAATCTTGAAAATTTAAAAAAATGCTTGAAATCCAAAATCAGTACTTCATGCTTGAAAATTTCTATTTCCTGTATAATTTCATATTCAATAATGAAGACTTTTTTTGGCAAAGTTTACCGTATATTCCGGCGTATAACGCGCACCCGTAATTTCTAATACTTTTTTTAAATTTTAAGATATACTCTTCGTATAACGCGCACGAAAATTTAGATTGTACATTTGCAATATCTAGTCTTTCAGGATCGTAAATAAAAAGTTTTTTCCCTATCTTTTGCGGAAATAAAAGAATTGAATTTGACATGTATGTGAGGGTACAGTTGAAAGAGTAATAATGTGATTCTAAGATATAATGAACTATTTATGTAATAGCGAAAATCAATAAAGTTTATTGGTAAAGGAATGTTATTTCGTTAAAAGAAAAGTATTTTTCTATATTTAAATTTTTTTAATCTATAATTTTTTATATTCGGCGTATACCGCGCACCCGTAAATTCCAATGTTATTTTTTGTATTAAAAATGCGCGTTATACGCCGGAATATACGGTAATTTAAATAAGCATATTACTTAAAAACGTATGGTGTTTGAATTTTTAATTTTTCCCTTCCTAATTTTTTTAAAACATGAAATTGCTAACTGAATGTTAAGCTTTTTAGTGTAAAATGTTTAGCCGTGTCCATTAAGCCGTGAAACATTTCACTTCAGTGTTATAAATTATATTTTACCTATCATTATATATTTTGACTTTTCAATTCATTTCATGCTGGCAATCATGTTTTTTCTAGAAACAGAATTAAGTTTATTTAAAAACTTCCACTTCGCATAAGCTCTAAAAGTTCATGAAATATTGGTTCATTAATTTTTTTTATTTTTAGCATCTAGCTTGTTAAACAGTTACCAGTATTAGAAATCTTTAATAAATAATTAAAAGACTTTTGAACCAGTTTGTTTTCGGGCTTACTTGTGACTGGTTATGTATTACCTAACAGACTAACTTGTTATAAAGTATGCTCATATAAATAAAAAAAAATTTTTTTTTGATCATATCTTTTTTATGAATTTCGTAAAATACTAAGCTGAAGGGTGTCTAATGATCAGGATAACCAGTAAAAGTCCGAGGAAATTCTGATTTTGGAAAAGGGATACATGATCAATTTTAAATTGCAAGTTGCGATGGGTTGAGAAAATACAGTGGAGCATCGTTTCTATGATGCCGAAGGGACCACCGAAAAACCTATAACCGATAACGTTGTATAATTGATTTTTACTTCTAAAACTGAAACTATGTTTGCAGTTAATTTTAATGTTTAACATGTTGATTTACATACATTTCTAAATTAGACAAAGCAAAACAAACAAATAACCAAAGAAGAAAAATTGCAGTGAGCAATTTGAATGTATGATACCTTTAATTATATTTTCCTGCTATTAGTCTCTACAATGCCTTGAATAGCGAGTTGAACTTACTGCTTTCTATGATGCAATTTTAGATTTCTAATCGTGGCCAAATCTAATGGCTGAAGCGCACTTGTGCAATTTGCAGGAAAAAAGAGAGCTTAGTATCGATGGGTGCGCTGGACATTGGTCGATGAATAGCAAAATTTTTTGTTTTTGCCTCTTCATAACATTGTCTAGTTTTTTCAGTCATCTATTAAAAATTACGGTCGTCATCCAAGCATTCTTGTTGGCACCTTTTTCTGTATCATTCATAAAACGTATCATTCATAAATTCCGCCCTTTTTTTAAATACACAAGAAAAAAAATAGTGCGTGGAGTCCCTCTGCGCGGAAGAAGTTAAACTTCGCAACCTGCGACGTTAATTGTAGAAGAATCAGCAGTCGTAGAAGGATCACTAGTTCTATTCAGCAACTCTTTTTTCCTGCTCTGCTCGCTCCCGTGCTCTGTAATCACGATAATATTGTGCATTTTTCCCTCGTGGACCTCTTGAACCAGTGGAAGTGCTTGNAAACAAATAACCAAAGAAGAAAAATTGCAGTGAGCAATTTGAATGTTTGTTACCTTTAATTATATTTTCCTGCTATTAGTCTCTACAATGCTTTGAATAGCGAGTTGAACTTACTGCTTTCTATGATGCAATTTTAGATTTCTAATCGCGGCCAAATCTAATGGCTGAAGCGCACTTGTGCAATTTGCAGGAAAAAAGAGAGCTTTTACATTTTCCAAAATAATTAGTATCGATGGGTGCGCTGGACATTGGTCGATGAATACCAAAATTTTTTGTTTTTGCCTCTTCATAACATTGTCTAGTTTTTTCAGTCATCTAGTAAAAATTACGGTCGTCATCCAAGCATTCTTGTTGGCACCTTTTTCTGTATCATTCATAAATTCCGCCCTTTTTTAAAATACACAAGAAAAAAATAGTGCGTGGAGTCCCTCCGCGTGGAAGAAGTTAAACTTCGCAACCTGCGACGTTAATTGTAAAAGAATCAGCAGTCGTAGAAGGATCACTAGTTCTATTCAACAACTCTTTTTCCTGTTCCGCTCGCTCCCGTGCTCTGTAATCACGGTGATATTGTGCATTTTTCCCTCGTGGACCTCTTGAACCAGTGGAAGTGCTTGTGGTTGCCTCATCGTCTCGCCCTGGAAAATGTATTTGTATTAATAATGTATGTGAATACGTCATTAGGTAATTTCAAAAGAGAAAACCTAACAATCAATTGATATTCGCAAGAGACGTACCTTGACATAGCCTTAAATCCGTCGCATTGTCCGTGGGATTGTTTTCACTCATTTTTTACAATAGTAATCCACTAAATTTGAAAATAAAAAATACTACCCTATTAAATTATCTGTGTATCAAAACAAACTAAAAAAATATTTGTAGAAAAACAATACTTTTATGACTTTTATTATTATTATGCTAGTGAGAACCAAAACAATATGGAAATGAATGAGGGAAAACTGGATCCTACCACGTGATTTCCCGGTCAATAAAAATGTAGCGTTAAACGTTTAACGCAACCTTGTTGGAAGTCGCATAAGAGGTATAACTTCAAAAATAAATAATTAAATAAACGTGAAAAAAATTTAAAGACTGGCGTATAACCGATTCTGTGCGTCGTATAAACGCTATATTTTTACATTTAAATGAATAGGAATGATTTGGGACCACACTAAAACGTCGTATAAGTGATCGTCGTATAAACGATGCTCCACTGTATTATATTTCATAAAGAACACATATCTGTTAGTGCAAAAACGCAATATGTTTTTAGATTTGATTTGGAAGTAATTCTCACTCATGCCTAATAAAATGTATACTAGGGGTCAAATAATCAAAATAAATAAACAAAATTATAATGTAAATACAGAGTTCTCTCTAGAAATAAAACGGCACTTGGAGTATCAAAAAGGTACTCACCAGAATTGTCCTGAGGAATAAAGAAGGGCAGGGTGCTTCCTCACTGAAAAGGCACTCAACATTAAAATTTATGAAATTGCGTGATTTTTTGTAACCTTGTTATTTGTCCCAAGGTGTACCTCCTAGTGGAACAGTTAAAAAGATGTGAAAAGTTAAGTAGCAATTTTCTGAAAATAGTATAACTAAATAAATTTAAATTTTTTAATTTTGTTAATAAGGTTTTATTTTGTTAGTTTCAACTTCTTGTATGCAAATTCAATTGTTCAGAATCACATACCAAACCTAAAGAGCGTTCAAAGCTTTGCCCTGCTTACGTTTTAACGAAATGTCATTTGAATCTGTGTATGATTTGTCTTTTTCGGGATAAATAAATGTTGCAGATTGATTCACACTTCTCAAAACTGATAACTCTTACTCATCTCCATCAACTCTTTCAACACAACCTACAAGGGCAACAACAGCTCTTCTACTAGCAAATTTGATATGAGCAAAGTCTCCAATATGTAATCCTGTCTCACTATTTTTTTCTAGATGTACTTTTTTCTTATCATCAAATATTTTGTTGTCACTTTCGCTGTTC